GAACCAGGACACTGCATAAAAATGTGTTCTGTAGTTTCAGGAATTTTCCTGGTCGGGAAGGCTGACCTGCAAAATTTACACCATCTTGTTGCTATTCCTTTCTGCTCTAAATAGGATCTATCAATCAACCAGTCATTTGTTGGGAGACATCTGTGCTTAATTTGCCATTGCAGAGAGGCGATCTTAGATGGTTTGTTTTTAATTGCTTTAAACCACTTCACCGGTCTCAGATCCTCTTTACTTATATTGAGGTGCTTCATCCATCTGTCCGTTACCATATCTCTCAAGTTTATTCTTGGTCTCTTCATCCGGTAAGCAGATTTGACTTTCAACAACTGAATGGTCATTTTACATGATCTATTATGTCTGCCTATTCTTACTTTCGAGCTCCATACTCAATTTGTTGGGTCTAGTGGCAGTTCGAAAATAGAACACTCAGGTTTGAAAGCTAGCCAAGAATCTTTACTCTTGATTACTCTTATTCTGAAGATTTAATGTGGTTGGACCCATCTATTGCCCTCTTGTTCGGGTTTGGTGATAATATTGTTGATTGATAAGGCAAAAATTTGTAGTAGACAGTTCCCATTTGGGCGGCGGTCAAGAATCCTTCCAATTGATTGAGGTTGGGACTTGATTGTTACCCAATCATTAATCAGTAATTTGGTACCTTTTATGAGGATCCGTATCCATTCAAGGGGAATAAGATCTATTATCTTTTTCAGTGCTTCCTCTGAATGGTGACAGTATCTTAGTCTCAATTTTAGTTTAGTTGGGCCTATCCAATCATTATTGTCAGCCTCCCATATGTCTTTTATCCTCAGGATTCCTTTATTGATCCATCCTTTCCAGGGTGAGTGCATACAATGAAGAACTCTACCTTGGGAATCACGAATCCATCTGTTATCAAATAAGGGTTGTTGACAGACTTCCTTCCATCTTTGTGGTGAGAGTTTGTCTGTTAATGGAAGTTTTCTCCATGTTTTTATCATGGTCACCCAAAATTGATCATTCTTCAAGTCTTGTCGAACAGCCTGTCTATTGGAAGTTATAGGCATTGTTTCAGGTTTAGTAGTCCCTTTGGGGATTGTCCAAGATCGATTTTCTAACCATGTCAGGGGGTTAATTTCCTCAGTCGTGGTTGAAGCTAGGCGCTTGATTTGTTCTAAGGCCAATGGTGTCCATGGGGTTTGGGGGTTGAACAATAGTCGTTGGATCCATTGGATTGAAAGAGCCCTTGACTGGGTGAGAGGGTCTAGGATTCCCAGTCCCCCACCTATTTTTGGCTGAATAATAGATAGCCATGCTACCCTGATGATAACATTATTACAGTCATGGTTACCTCTCCATAAGAAGGCAGTTAATTGTCTTTGGAGGGATTTGAGGGAAACTTTGTCCAAGGCCCAGATCGCCGATTTATACCAAATGGATGCTAGAATTATGTTGTTTATTATCATTGATCTGCCAAAAATCGATGTATGTTTATTTTTTCATATTTCGAATTTAGACTGAGTTGGTTGAGAGATCCATTCATTATGGGACTTTGGTTTTCCTTCAGCTGATAGTGAGATCCCTAGTACTCTGATAGGGGTATTCAAGGGTAACCACTTAATTCTACGTAACTCTGGTGGTCGCCCTCCTTGGTGATGTATCCATCATCCAGTTGTCTTGTTACCCCATTTAATTTTCATGTCTGAGAGGCGACAAAATTTGTCCATCATTTTTTGAATTTCTGTCATGTTTTCTTTGGTAGCATCTATCATTATAGTTAAATCATCTGCAAAAAGAGAACAGACTGGAATCGCCTCTTCTAGGATGCTAGTGACCTGTATGCGACAGATATCTTTGTGTTGTCTTAAGTTTGCTGCTAGTGCCTCCATGATAATGACAAAAAGGAAGGGTGCTAAGGGATCCCTTTGTCTGACAGATCTCTCTAGTGAAATTGGAGGGGGCAAATTATTATTGACCATCACTCTAGTTGTAGCGTTTTGGTGTAAAATTATCACCCATCTTCTAAAGTTTGGTCCAACATTAAATTTTTCCAAATATTTATCCAGGAAAAATCAATCCACATGATCATATGCCTTTTCAAAGTCTATGAAGATAAAGGCAGCGTTATGTTTAGATTGGCGAGAGATTTTCAGAAGTTCATTTACCAGAAGGATATTATCCTGGATATTCCTCCAATTTATGAACCCTGTTTGAGATGGGTGTATAATTTCTGGCATGATCTTGATCATACGATTTGTTAAAGCTTTTGCTATTAGCTTATAAACCACCGTGAGAAGGATTATTCGACGATAGTTTCTTATGTTCATCTTGTCACCTTTTTTGTATAGA